TTTTCTGATATCCTCTTTTTTATCCTTTTTTAGAGTACTGTACGTTTTTTTTTCTACTGGGATCAAACTTGGGATCTTGAGCTTTCGAAGCAGGTGGTGGAGGAACCACTGAGCTAAATCCCTGGCCCTAGAGTACTGCGCTTTTTATTATAGAAGTCTTTCACATTTTTATTTAATTCCTAAGAATGTAATTTTTCTTAAAAAATATTGTCCACCTAATTTCTTCCTTTGTGAGTTTGTCATTGATATACAGGAACACTATTGATTTTTGTGTGATGAAGTTGCTGATTAATCCCAGGAGTCTTTTGATGGAGTTTTGAGGGCCTTCTCTGTAGAAACCCTCACTTGCAAATAATGATAATTTAACTTCTTTCTTCCTTTTACAGATCCATTTCACTTCTTTCTTCTGCCTGACTGTTATGGCTAATATTTTGAGAACTGTATTGAACAAGAGTGTTGATAATGGTTGTCCTTGTCTTGTTCCTGAATTCAGGCAGATAGCTTTCAGCTTCCCCCTGTGTATTATGGTGTGGCCCATTGGTTTGTCATGATGACTTTTATCAGATTGAGATAAGTTTCTTTTATGCCTATTCTCTTCAAGGATTTTACCATGAATGGATGTTGGATTTTGTTAAATGTTCCTTTCTCTGTGTGTTGGTATGATCATGCGACTTTCATCAATGCATGTGTTTATGTGGTGTATTACATTTATTGATTTGCATATGTTGAAACACCCCTGTTTCCCTGGAATGAACCCTTCTTGGTCATGATGAACAATCTTTTTGATGATTACTTGCGTTCTGTTTGCCAATACCTTATTGAAGGCTTTTGCATCTGTGTTCCTCAAAGAGTTTGGCTTGTATTCTCTCTGTTTTGATTTCATCCTTTTCTGCTTTGGGGCTTGGGTTAATGCTTACTTCCAAGAATGACTTTGGGAGTTTGGCTTCCCTTTCAATTGTATTAACGAGTTTGAGGAGTTGGCATTAGATCTCTCTAACATTCTTGTAGAATTCAGTAGCGAATCCATCAGTACCTGGGCATTTTTCAGTTGGTAGTATTTTTTTTTCCGGTATGTGGAATTGAACTCAGAACCTTGCACTTGCCAGGCAGATGTAGCGCCACTGAGCTACATCCTGGCAGTAGTGTTTTCTATTAATCCTTTTATTTCATTGGATCATATGATATTATTCAGAATGTTGTTTATATCGC